AGAAAGAAAATGCTTTGAAAAGGATGATGGCAACATATGTATAAATGTGCTTGACACAATGGATGTCTGGATTGTTAAGAGCTGTAAAATTCCCTAATAAAATGATTTAAAAAAATGAAACAACTCCACTTTTATATGAATATGCATATGACAGATATGAATTCAAAGTTTAGTCTTACTAAATTACAGTAATATTTACATAACTTTTTATATTGTCAAATGTTGACTTTAAAGAAATTATTCAGAATGCAAGTAAATATCAGTGGCTACAGGTTAACAAAATGAAGCTTTTAAGACCTCATGAATGAGAATGAGCATTCAAAAAGTACAGCAATCTTTCTTCATATAACTTAAAAATAGTTGTTTTCCAGGGACAAGGATTTGGGGCACTTGAATTTAATTCATATTCCAACAAATTTAAAAGTAGTCAGACATTTCCTGAGTGCATAGTTTCCCTAGTAATACATGTTGCTCTACAACAGAGCAGTACATAGATCTAGCACTAACAAGTGGTTTTTCTTTTAAAGAAGTGTAGTTATTTGGCCGTAGTACTTTTTACTTCTATTTTTAAAACGCTAACCATAGCAGTTACACTGCAAGAAAGCACTCACTCTAACCCCACTTACTCCCCACCTTAAGACATACCTCAGAAGGTGCTTGCTGTGAGCTTATGTAATAGATAAGAAACAGCCTCATTTTATCTTCTGGCGTACCTGCTACATAGGGAAAAATAAGATGAAAAAGGGATTATTATTCTAGTTAATATATTATCATATGAGATGTTTATAAGTACATAAAATTAAGAGCATATATAATTGTGTCAAAAAATGACTTTTTAACTACACTGATTTAAAACGTAATATTATAAACGTGTTGGTAAATGCAATTTGGCTCTCATAGGTACCCTATATATTACAGAACACAATACTGCCAGACACTGGACCGCTTCATAGGCATGTTAAAACAATATAAAATACAAACATGGGAAAAGAGCAAACCTTGTAGGATTAGATGGGTGGGATTATGGAAGCATTTTCATTATATATTCCAAATCGTCTATAATGTTGAGATTTATCTCTTTGATGTAAATTCAAAAAGAAAAGGATATAGGTGGGGTGACTATGTAATTTTAAACTAGGGCATGAGATGAAAAAAGAAGCTAGTAATAATCACATAAGGAGGACTGTTATAAAAACGGAACTGTTCTGAGAAGCAGTAACCCACTGGTACACACACATAATTAAAAAAAATTAAAAAATAAGCCAGAGAGAAAACCTCTGTTTTGAAACAAGCAAGAAATATTTAAATCTTTAATAAATTCAGAATGGGCCAAGAGGGAGATCAAATGGCTAGTTATTATACCTTAGTTTCATCCACCATAGTCAAGTTTACAGTAATCTTTGTCAGATAGGAAGGCTATTTGTGTCCCTCAAATATGTTCAGAGGGGGACTGCCAGAGGGCCCTAATCCACAAAAATATTCTGTAGATGGATCTGGTACTTTCACCATCCTCCATAGCCTTCTACAAATTGGGTGTCCACAATTTAAGCTCTGATACCTTTCCTTCCATTGTATTTGGATTTTGGTATTTGTCATCTTTGGATCACACAGGCTGATGTGCTTCTTCCACGCAGGCTTTGTTGATGCTTCACTTGACACAAGCCTTTAAGGGCCCAGATGCTATTCTTTTGATAGCCGGGCACCATCTGCTTTTGTCACTACACTTTGCTGTAGCACCCATATCTGCAGTGATCTCTTCATGAGGGCAAGTATTGAGCAGGGCCATGATGTAAGAACTAAATGTTTTTGGTTTGAGGGTAGAATTACGTGGGAGCCAGAATCCATTCACTTGTCACAATTATGTATGGCTCTAGTTCCCTTTAGAGGTCTCATGGTCATTTTATGATATACAACATTATCAATCCTCCCTCTAGGGCATCCTTTGAACTTCTGACAGTTGCTTCCATGAGCGTTGATTGTGGACCCAAGCTACACAAGTTCCTTGATAACTTCAATCTTTTCTCCATTTATCATGATGTTACCTATGGATCTAGTTGTGAGGATTTTGGTTTTCATTACCGGAATTTTAATCCATACTCAAAGGCTGCAATCTTCTTCAGCAAGCCCTCTTCACTTTCAGCAAGCAAGACTGCGTCACTTAAAATCCTGATTCCAAGTTCTTCTTCATATAATCCAGCTTCTCTCATCATTTGCTCAGCATATAGATTGAACAGTATGGTGAGAGGATACAACTCTGACACACAGCTTTCCTGACTTTAAGCCATGCAGCATTACTTTCTTCTGTTCACACAGCTGCCTCTTGATCCATGTACAGGTTCTGCATGAGTACTGGAATTTGCCTTCTTCTCAACGCTATCCATAGTATATTATGAATCACACAGTCGAATGCCTTTGCGTAGTCAATGAAACACATGTAAGCATCTTTCTGGTATCTCTTTTAGCCAAGATCCATCTGATATCATTAATGATATATATGTTCCACATCCTCTTCTGAATCAAGCCTATTTATGTGGCAAACTTACTAAATTCACTATAAGCTTTTATGTATTTTAGGGGAGCCCTTGGAATTTTGTATGTCATAGCTACTTTACAGATTTTCCCATTAATTGTATTTCAGCTTTGACATCTATTAGTTGTGTTTTGTCATGTAAGCTGAGTTTCTGGGTTTTAGAAAGCTGAGGAATGAATCGTATCCCAGACATTTTAAATGCTAGGTTCTGAAGTTCTAGATCTTGTTTAAAACCTAGGAGAAGCTTACTTTTTATTTTAGTAGGTAAGTGATCTGACTGGATCAAGGCTATATGCTCTGACCAGTTGTCTAATGGGTGTAATTTCTTCAGCAAGTTCTGTTTTCAAAACATTTTGCAGTTCTATGGAATCTGTCCCATCACCCCTGGAACTGGGAGATATTCTAGCTCTTAGTTCATTTTTCAATGTTTGGAATACTATTTAGAATTAGATCTACATAAGTTCAGCTCAAGGGTGAGCCCAGAAATTCACACTTTATGGGGTTTCTTTTCCAAGCTCCTTCCTTTCTGAAGTCACTTTGCACTTTCTGATATCCTTGGCGTTCCCTTTGGAGTACTCTAGCTAGAGAGCTTTGGCTTCAGTCAACCTGTTCCACTGCAGATTTCCTCTAAGTATATGAATGAATTTAACTGTGACCAAACAGAGGACAAGAGATAAGGAGTGTAATGGAGCTTGCCCCGCCTTTTTGGAACCACAGCTCCTAGACAAAGGAAGGTTTCCATTCCTCTGAGTTTTAGGAGTCTCTGGATCCCTGTTGCTTTCAATATCCTTAGCCTCTAGCAGAGCCTTTTCCAACAGTAAGCACTTATTTTGCTTATAGAAGTTTTCAATGTTCAAAGAAAAACGTATCTGTTTATTAAACTTATTATTTCCAGTATTAATAAATACCCACTTCTGCTAAGAGTCACAACGGTTAAGGGCTAGAGAGCATCCTGATATGTATAATGATGCTAACAACTGGGAAGCACATCGGAAACTGTACACATGTATCATTTGCAACTGAGTATTCCAGAGGCTGTAGCCACAGCCTGCAACCTCTTGTCAGATTTAAGGCTCTCTTGTGACTGCTCTCCAGTTAAAGTCAGAGTTCCCTCACTGAACAAAGCGATGGATGTTAGAGAAAAAATTAGAGCATACTTTAGAAATTTTTTTCCTTCCTAAAATATCTGAGTTATTTAAGAATGTCAAAAACATTTTTCAGTATAACCTCAATATAACAACAACCAAAATTCAGAAATTAACATCAATACCTTACTATCATCTAATCTTTAAACTTCCAAGTTGTTTTTGATTATAACCATGGGATTTATAGAGTATTTTCACTTTTAAAATTCTGTAAAACTTGAAAGCTTTGTCAATCAATTCAGAGTATTTTTCAATTCAAATCTGTTTTTTTTACAAAATGAAAACCCTAAGATACAATTTTACATCTAAGCCATTCCGCAGAATTATGATAGTTTTCGAGTTATAGTTTTAGTATGCATTTGGGTTTTCATTTCCAAATGGAAAGTAATTTCTAAAAGTCTTTCTCCTTGAACCAGCAAAACCTGACCTTGAATATATGGCTTTAAACAATGACTAGAAGAACATTTAATACTATTAAGTTTGGTGAAATGAAAATCATGTTTCTACTTGCAGAACTATTATGATGTAAACTTTTACAGTAAATTCCATTTAATTACCTTATTATTAGCACAAATTGCAGGAAACAATAATTTGACTCAGATTTAGTCAAACTGCAAATGCTACATCCATCCTATGTGAAACTTACATTAACTCCAAATCTATGGTACATACCATCAGGGTCTGATATTATATCCAGAAGAGATTTATCCAGGGTAGTTTTGCTCATTATTTTTTCTTCATATTCAAAATATACATCCAGTTTTCTTGCCTATTCCAAATTAAATATTTGATTAGAATACATTAAGTAATGAAATATATACTAAGGTTCACTTGCTTACAAGCTTTTATATTTTTGATCAATTTTAAAAGCAAAATTTTCACTTCCTAGTAGAATGTATTAAACTTTCTTTTTATCATATACTTAAAACCAAGCTCACTGCTGTTGAGTAGATTCTGACCCATAGTAACTCCTTTAGACAGAAAATAACTGCTCATTTAGGGTTTCTGAGACTATAAATCTTTATGGGACACATAGCTTCACCCTCTATGGAGAATGGCTGGTGGGCTTGAACCATTAACTTTGCAATTAGCAGTCTACTGCTTAACCCACTGTGCCACCAGAATACCTATCATATAATTAAAAAACAAACAGAAGAACCACTGCCAGAGAATTGATTCGGTATCACAGCAACCCTATAGGACAGAGTAGAACTGCTTCACAAGGTTTCTCCCTGAAAGTGATGGTGGGTTTAAACCACTGACCTCTGTGGTTAGCAGCATAACTCTTAACCCACTATGCCTTTAGACAACTTTGGGCTATTTTGTTTACCAGATCTACCTTGTTGTAATTATCTCTGCATGTCACACATTTATTAGCAAACCCAAAATCATACAAAGTTCCATTTTGGTACACATTAGTAACTATCACATAAATCATATTATATTCCATGCGAATTAATGTAAGTGGTCATGTTATAGTTACTTTTTTTAGTGTACAAATCTGAAGGTTTCCTTCTACTTAACTGGATGGAAAGCTACACTAAGTTGAATTGGTTTTCATGCTTATGTTTTATACAATTTTTCCTTAAATTTTTTTATCCTTAGGGTTCTCTGCCTTTCCATGATCTAAAAATCAATCTTCTCTGCATGATACCTTACTAATTTTGTTTTGGGCCCTACAGTATAAATAAAAATGATCATTATTAAATAGCTGTTAAATTATGCTTCAAAGAACACACAAGGGAGAAGTTTTCTACTTGAAGGTGTTTATAATCTAAGTGGGAGTAAAAACCAATCATGAAATAAATGAGAAAACTTAAAAACCCATGAAAGAACAAATATTAAATATAGAACATAAATAAACATACTATGCTAAGGCCAAAAATAAAAAACAAACTCACTGCCATCAAGTCAATGCTGACTCTTAGTGACCCTGTAGGACAGGCTAGAACTGTCCCTATGAGTTTTCGAGACTGTAACACTTGATGGGAGTAGAAAGTCCCCTCTTTCTCCCATGGAGCGGTTGGTGGTTTCAAACTGCTGACCTTGCAGTTAGCTTGGGTAACCACCATGCCACCAGGGATCCTGGTGAAATCGCCAATTTTAGAGAAAATGGTGATTGGATTTAAAAAATGATTTGGGAAGATGGATAGGCAGCGAGCTCATTTCAGTTAAAGGAACATCCGAAGGCACAAAGTAGAGAAACCTGAATGTCAGACAAAGGAGTGGATTTCACACACTGAGCAGGAAGAAGCCAAAGAGAGTTCCCTTGCTCTTCACCCCTGAAGGTCAGTTTTAAATAAATGAAACATTCAGAGACTACAAAATTACAAAACAACATAAAAAATGTATTTACTGTGAAGTTTCCTTTTTTGAACTGTGAAGCTTCATTTCTCAACCCTGTCCTCTTCCACCCCATTTCTATCTGTTCCTATATACATTTACTAGATTATTTTTAGCTTTTCTCAAGATTGTTTTTAATATAGTCTATATTCTTATAGCTTTCCCCTAACACAAAGGAAAATATATTTTCAATACTCTTCCTTATTCTTTCTTTTACTGAAGAATATATTTTGGAGATTTTTCTACATTAGTGCACAGAGAACTAACTTCCTTATAAGAGTAAAATACTTAAAACTTCTAGTACAGTTTTCCTTATTACAAAATCTTTGGCTTTTCAGTCCCTGACCTGATAAAGTACTATTTTAGCTATTATTTAAAATAAGCTAAACAGTAAAATATTTAAAGCTTCCTTATACATAAAATAGATCAGAGATGAATTTTTAGGAAAAAAGGATCACATAAAAATTGGACAAAAGCAGGGTGCAGTATAGCACCGACAAAACATACAACTTTCCTCTAGTTCTTTAACGCTCCCCAGCTCCCCCATCATGACCCCAATTCTACCTCACAAATCTGGCTAGACCAGAGCATGTACATGGGTACAGATAAGAGCTGGAAACACAGAAAATCCAGGTCAGATAAACCCCTCAGGATCAATATTGAGAGTAACCATACCAGGAGGGTAAGGGGAAGGTGGGGTGAGAAAGGGGGAACCGATCACAATGATCTACCTATAATCCCCTTTCAGGGGGATGGACAACAGGAAAGTGGGTAAAGGAAGACATTGGTCAGTGTAAGGCATGAAAAAATAATTTATAAATTGTCGGGTTCATGAGAGAGGGAGGGCTGGGGAGGGAGAGGAAAAACTGAGAAGCTGATAACAAAGGATCAAGTAGAAAGAAAATGTTTTGAAAATGATGCTGGGAACAAATGTACAAATGTGTTTGACACAATGGATATATATGGATTGTGATAAGAGTTGTACGAGCCCCCAATAAAATGATTTTTAAAAAATTGGACAAAAGAAATACAAAGGATATTCTAGGATGGAGACCATAACAGTGGTTGGAATGGAAAGGAAGAACTACAGATATTGAATAACCAACTGGAGATGGACATAGGAGCAGCATGGTCAAGTGAAATATAACTCCTAGAGAACTAGAATGATAGTAGTAGGAGTTATATTAATATGCGTATTAGCTTGGGGAAGGTGGATTATCTCAAGTGAATCAAGGAGAGAAGAAAGGTGAAAGGTGATAAACGAAGTTGCCTTCGGAGCTCTCACAATCGGATTCAGTTTACCTTCTGTCTTACTACTCACTCACTAGGTACAGTTCCCTCTCACTCACTGCCACTGAGTCAATGTAGACACATAGCGCCCCTCTAGGAGAGAGAACTACTCCTATGGGTTTCCGCAACTAACTCTTTGTGGGAGTAGAAAGCTTCATCTTTCTCTCTTGGAGCTAGAATGACTGTCCTTGGGGTTAGCAGCACAATGCATAACTACATCTCACCAGGTGTCCTAGTCACATCAAATAACTCACAGTTAAACACTCTGTGTGCTTTCAGGCTGAGGCTCAGGTTAATCTCTAAGCATTTTTATCATATATTTTTCCTTCATCATCTATACAACACATTCTACTCAGACTTTAAGATTCTGCTGAAATCTCTTCTTTGGAGCTTCCCTATTCCTCTCTCTTGAATCGGTCTATTCTGTTTCCTGTCCCACCTTCAATCTCCTTCTTGGTTGGAAACGTTTCATTATTTCCTTTATCTGTTTAACAAGAGCACTTTATATGTCTGCCTATAATCACACGGATCACACTGTAATACTGGTTTCTGTTTATATGTCATCTTGCTAAAGATATAAACTCTCTAGAGCATGCCTAATTAATCATTTAATCCTAGAGTGGTTAACATAGCATCTGGCTCCTCACACGTACTTGGTAAAATATTTGTTAAAATTTTAAGTTCAGAGCAGGACATATATAGACCCAGTACTCATCTTTAAAATCATGGAATAAGATGAATGAACTTATGGAAGTTAAAAAAAAGTGAAATCTTACATTTTTAATTTAATACATGAAATTAAATAAGCTAAATGCTATAATAGAAAGGGAAGAATTACTTTATTTCATAGAAAAAATAGGAATAGGTAAAGTGAATGCTAGTCTCTAAAAATTATACTATGTAACTCTGCTTTTTCAGTGATTTATGTATTGACATTAGATTCACTTTGTTGATCTCGATGCATTAATTAACTCATACTTCAACCTCTAAAGAGCAGGAGAAAGAGAGTCTAACAGTAATGTAGTCTGAATACTAATGAGTAGAGGGTTTCTTTTTGAGGTGAAGAAAATGTTCTATAATTACACTGTGGTAATGGTTGTACAACTGTGAACACACTAAAAACCATTAAATTAGTAAGCAAACTGTATGGCATATGAATTATATTACAATAAAACTCAAGAAAAAAGAAACTTGGTCAGAATTTCAAATATATGGATTTTGATGGAGTACCCTCTATGAGTAAAAGGGATGAAGTATAGCTTTTCCAGCCTGCATAGGAAAACTAGCTACATCTTCAGCAACTATTATGTGCTGGGCCCTTTTCATACAGGTATGGCTTTCAAATGTTTTTAAGGAGTTAACTTCAGACCCCACTTTCTCAAACCAGATTTGTAAAACCCTATTAAACATCTCTATAGAGCTCTAGAGTTCTAGAAAGCCAATGTTAATATTGAAAAATGAAGATTATCTTGTTTAATTCTCCAAACAACATAAGAGCTCGGAATTATTAGTCCCATTTAAAAGAATATAAACAGACACACAAAAATGTAAATTTGTTCAAGGTTACCAGAGTAGAAGTAGTAGAGGGTTGAGACTCAAATCCAGGTCAGACTCCAATGTGCACCACAGATAAAGAGGAGGGAAAATAACATTTTCCTCAAGAACAATTTTACTGCTTCTTTTGTATATGCTTTATGAAAAAAAGTATATTTATTAATTAGTATGTATTTGTTTTCTTTGTAAACACATAATTTATGTATATGTGGTAAAGAGTCATTTTGACCAGAGAGTAATATCTATATGTATTTTCTCAATTTCTTGAAATAAGGTTATTTTCCTAAGAGAAGCAACTTTTCTAACTCCAAAGATTATTATTATACACACCATGGGTTCAAACGACAATGCAAATTGGACACGAGAATAATGGACAACAGACTAATCAAATACAACAAATAACAAACAAGGCCAAAGCAATAGAAAAACTCACATTTGTGGTAGCTTCCGAGAAAAATAAAATAAAACTTGAACATTGTAAAAAACTAACAAAAGCACTATAGATTGAGGACACATTTATATCTAGTAAATATATTTAAAAATAAAATTCTGAAATCCATCAGTGTCTCAAAAATCTCTTTA